TTCTGCTGAAGCACTCAAGAGTGCAGGAACGTGCTAAATGAACTAATGAAAAACACTTGCAAAGATTACAGCAATATTTTGGGTGGCTGGAGAACAAACTTCAGGGAGAAAGGGATTTGTCAGATTCCAAAGCAATCTGGATTCCTTCAAATTCAGTCCACTTCCTCCCTATTCTGGAGATGCGTCAGAGGGAGAGTTTTGGATTAAAAGTGACTCTGTTTTTGGGATATCAGTAGGTGCAACAGCCAGGATTGAAAATTCCGAATTGCACATTTTTGGGAAGGCAGATCTTCTCCTTAGTTTGAACTTGACCCCCTAAATTGTCCTCCCAAGAGGAGTATAATTCCTCCCTAACAAAGCAGTTAGAGCAAATATTGAATGGTTTCCTGCAATTTTACCAGTCTTTGGAAATGAGACATAACTTGATACTGATCAAAGAACTGAGTTCCTGATATTCATAATAAAGAAAAGGCAGGAAATATCTAGCTCTTAGTTCTGCAAAGTTATGCTAAGATATCCTAATTCCTGCTCAGAATTCAGGCAGCAACTAAGTAATGTTAAGAGAAAATTGATTTGCCCTTGAGCAGGTCCCTTCTCTCTAATCCAGCATTTCTCAACTTCAGCTACATTAAGAAGTGGACTTCAATACCCAGAATTCAGGGAGTTGAAGTCCACACCTCTTAAAGTAGCCAAGGTTGAGAAATGCTGCACTAATTTCTTGGGCCTGACTTGGACGGAAGTGGAATTCTTGCAGGTAGACTTGTTTTTATTTCAGGATCAGTGCTGTGTCTTATCAAACCCATAACAGCTATTCATGTATAATGCTCAAAAGCCTAATTGACCTTAACAGAGAGACTTGAATAAACAAATAAAAACTTTATTGCCTGCTTTATTCGTCCACATTCGTTAATGCCTGTTATTTATGCCGAAGTCATTCTGGATGATGAATACAGTTAATACTAGAAAATTAAATCCCATTGCTTTCAAGCCCTTTCCACTCTTTTATAACTGTATTTTTATGCAAATTGTGTATTTATTTATTTTTTTAATATCAGGATTCGCAGAGGAAAACGTTGTGAGAATTTGGCCAGAAAATCCTGTTGTGCAATTTGGAGGTTCCCTTGAGATAAACTGCAGCACCAATATTGAAGCAGATGCGATTGGCCTTGAAACCCCCTTCAGAAGGGAAATCATTGGAACTGGATCCAATTGGAAAGTCTTCCGTCTCACCAACATCAGTGACTTTCAGAACACTATCTCATTATGCTATGCTGAGAAGGATCACGAGACAAAATCTGCAAAAGCAACCATTACTGTTTACAGTAAGTCACATGATGACTGCAAAAGCAGATGAGAAATATTGGGCATCTAAAGTACCCAGAGTTCAAATTCAACAGGAAGACACAAGAGTCACTTAGTCCGGTAGGATCAAACCTTAGCGCTGTTAACTGCAGTGGTCAAATAACTGAGTAATAAACAACAGAAACCAGAATAAAAGCAATGAACAAAGTTTTATTGAACAATTTGGGATACTTATGCGGGAGAGTTTCGTTCTGCACTAGTTGCGATCGATTTATTTCCTTTATCAAAACTATCTAGCTGACCATCTCATTAAAAGTGGGAGCAGTACATAAAGTTAAAACAGTGAAGGAATACATGAAGTTGCTATGCAGGGCAACTGGAGGAGGGGAGGCTTTCCTAGGCAAGATTTTTAACACTTCAACATTTCTCTCCATCTCCTCCCCTCGAATCCTTTTGGGAAAATAAGACAGGCTGCATAGCTTACATTGTAAAGTGTTAGAGGCGGTGGGACAGTCAGGAGAATATGTGATCAAGTGTTGGGGAATTGACAAAGGAAACCTATAGTTTAGTGAGGGTTACCTGCATTAATGTCTAGCAAGAATGCAGGCACTTAGCTAAGCCAAAAGATGGGAATAATTACCTAACAAAGGCAAGCAAATAGAAATAGATCTTTCAGATGACAAGAGACAAGATATTTCTTTTGGGAAAGCTAAGGCATGCCACCCACTGCCCTTTACAAGTATATAGAAATTTAAGTTTGACTTAGAATGTACAGGAAAATATACCCTTAGGTAGAGAGAATTTCATCACATAGAATAAATAACAGAAGAGCCGTGTTATTGCTTGTTCATACTTCTAGCATATGCTAATCAAACAAAATTGATTTAGAACATTTTATTTCATTTCAGAATCTCCAGAGAAGATTGAGCTGGATCCAGTACCAGAAATGGAAGTGGGCAAGCAGTATAATTTGACATGCCGGGTTTCTGGTGTAGCCCCCATCCGGGACCTCACCGTGACCTTGCTGAAAGGGGAAGAGCAACTTCTGGTAAAGACCTATAAGGATCGTACTGACCGTAAGGCTGTTCCTGTTGTGGTGAACCATCACATGATAGCTCAGAAAGATGACTACAACAAGACAATCACCTGCCAAACATCCCTGGATCTGAGACCAACAGGACCACTCTTGAAAAATACTTCCCACAGCATATCATTATGGACTTTTGGTGAGATCCCATCCATTGCTCCAGTTCTGATTTAGACACATGGCACCCTGTGCTAGACAATGCTAATTCTCTACAGGAGGGGTTGGTCCACCTATTCCACTGTTTTGATTTTTGTTTGCATAGATCTCTGATGTCCCCTACAGTTGCCCCAGACACTCACCTCCTGAGAGGCTAGGGAGAGGGTACTATTGTGGCTGTGGTTTCTTTTAACTGACACATGATTTCTCTTACTTCCTTGGCAGATTTTGCAAAGGCTCCCTTGCTCCACACTGGCCTGTTCTTAGAAGCTGGGACCCTGATGAAAGTGACGTGTGATGCGCCTGAGGCTTCCCCAGCCAATGAGGCCGTGTTTGATCTGCGGTTTGCAGGGAAGTCCCTGACCTTCAACACCACTGTGATGGGAGGCTTGGCAAGTGCCCAGGCTGTGATAGCCTCTTCCTCAGTTGGAGATCATGAGTTGATTTGCACGGTTTCTCTGGGGCCAGTGACCAAAAACGTGACAAAGACAGTGAATGTGTTTGGTGAGTCTCATATCTATCGTTACTAACACAGAGAGATTTAGAAGAGTTTTCTTCCATCTATTTGAACAAACCTAGAAGAAGTTAGAAGTTAGATTGATTTTATTTTGGAAAACAAAATTTCAATAATGGGTTGGATCAGTCTAAGTAGCTTGAGAGAAAGCCCTTTGAAACCTATGGAATTGGAGGGATAGGTTACTCAACCCTGTTCTATTTTCATTGAGATCCAAGAACAACTATTGTAGGATGAACCAAAAAATATTCCCATCCAGATTAAATATAGAGAGAGCTTAGATCTGACCTAAAGCCATTAGACCTAAAGCCATTACAACTTATGATTGCTTTGTTTTTACTGTTTTGCATTTTGACATGCAGTATTTATTTAAAGAAGAGTTCTCCACTCCTCTACTCGTTGTAGAATACCTTATGCCACCAGACTTGAAATTCTAGAACTAGAAAACCTTGAATTACGCCGTCTTCGGTCTGATTTAAGCATGGTATATAAAATCATACATTGCAATGTCCTACCTGTCAATGAATACTTCAGCTTCAACCATAACAACACAAGAGCACACAATAGATACAAACTCAAAGTTAACCGCACCAAACTTGATTGCAGGAAATATGACTTCAGCAATAGAGTGGTCAATGCCTGGAATACTCTAACTGACTCTGTAGTTTCTTCCCCAAACCCCAAAAACTTTAACCTTAGACTGTCTACTATTGACCTCACCCCTTTCCTAAGAGGTCTGTAGGAAAGCGCACCAACGTGCCTACCGTCCCTGTCCTATTGTTTCTCTTATTCTTCTTTTATTTTTCTTATATGTACCCATTTCATGTATTCACAACTATGTATACACTTATACTCATTATCTTGTAAACAATTGGCAAATAAATAAATAAATAAATAAATATGTTCTAACCAAATAGAGAATGCAGAAATTGAAAGAAACAGCCACTCTCATCCATTTCACTTCTTTGGAACCTCTGGTATCCAGCCATTTCAAGTGCTCTATTTCTAATGCTATTTTGCTTACAAGAAATCTGAGATGAATGTGGACTGAAAGAGAGTGTGAAGGTGAAAGTCCTTCACTAAGCTTCCATGGTTGTAGGTGGACTTGAACTTAGGGTTCCTCTATCCTAGTCCTTAATGACTCTTTTCATATCTAGGACAGGAGGGGGAGAGATAGCCTTTAGCCAGCATTTGTTTTAACTATTTTCATTCATCATTTTATAACCATCTAAGTACATTATCACTGCTCTGCTCTATTTCTTCACAGCTTTACCAAATCCCATCTTGCAAATTGGCAGTTCAGAAGCTGGTCAAAAAGTGAACATTACATGTGGTGCGGAGGGCAGTGCTTCTCCTGGTTTTACAATGCAGATCACGGACACTGCCAAAATATTAGCATCTGGCAACGTAAATTTCCTGCAGCATGAAATGATTGCCCAGCAAGAGGATGACGAGAGGGAATTCATCTGCCAAGTAACCCTGACCGTTGACGGGCAGGTCAAGAAAAGAAGCGTGTCTCAAATACTTACCGTCTTCTGTGAGTAGGAAAACAAAAATACACCTCATGTTTTATTCCGAGAGATTCAGTAATCTTCAAATAGTGTGGCAACAAATTTTACAGCTAGGATGACCTTTGGAAATTGGTAACATTGCATAGTGTTATGTAATTGCAGGTCTCTGCACCCCAGAAGGTGGCTAGGAGGATCATATGAGTATGACCCAATGGTTCCTTTCATATAGGAACTCACCTAGTGTTCTTCTTGTCCTTCTAAATTACTGAAGTACTGGGAAATTGTTGTTTATTTGTTAAATTTATATCGCCACATATCTTACTTCTGAGACTCTGGGTGGCTATATAGATTTAACAAATACACACCCAAAAACCCTCAATATATAGTTTTTGTAATAAAAACTACAATAAGAAAAATCATTAAAAACAATAAAAATACATTTAAAATTACATGGGAGAGCGCACTCAAGTTTCCCCTACAATACAGGTACTTTAATAGCTCCATATCCCTGTTCCCAGATCCCCAAGCCAGATGGCAGAGCCACGTCTTCTGGAAGGCCAACAAGCCTTTGGGGTCAGTCTGGCCTCAGCGGGAATGATGTTTTTAAAGCAAATGGACCTCTCAGCTAATTTATAGAGATGCAAGTGTATTGTTGCAATGAGAGTTAGAGAAGATGTACATTAGTTATTGGGTTTAGTTATTCCCATGAACTAGGTAGGCACCCAATGCAAGGCTGCCTAACAAAGTGGCAAATAGACTAGTAGGTTTGATGCCATCAGGAGGATTAATCTCTGACATCCAAAGCATTATGTCCCATTGTGGTACTATTTATGTTTTTAAACAACATCAGTAAATATATTTTCTGATTTCCCTCAGTACTCTTGGAGGTACATATACCCCTTTATGTTCTCAACTTAACTGGTTATTTAAATCTATTCAGGTTGTGTGAAAGAGGAGTTACTTGCTTCTGTGATGTGTTTCAGGCTGGGGATGTGGTATACTTTGACTTCCTTGATGCTCGGGGTCTTTATATTTGCACACTCTTTCATTAGCCAATCAGGAATACAGGTAGTCCAAAATTATGGCCAAAATGGAGCCCTGAATTGTGGGCATAGGTTGTTGTGGTCATTAAGAGAGGCATCCATGTGACCACCTTGCTCAATGACCTCATTCCCAGCTTTTCCCACTGTGGTCATTAAAGAGAGTGTGGGCTGCCCACTGAGGAGGCCCTGTGCAAGCCGAGGCCCACATTGCAATACCCCTCAGTTCAGACATGGCCTACCCCCAGACATGGCCTAGCCCATGCACAGCTTCTTGCCCCATCAGATTCCACAGTCTTGGGTATGTTTTCCATCCTGCCGGGTCCCACAGGCCTTGGGCCCTATCACACTTGGATCCACTTATCTCTTCTGAAGAACTCTGTTTTGAAAGAACACCCAACTGATGTGATACAAAGGCTGCCACATGGCTTTCTGGAAATGGTGCCATTCTTGCGATCTCTTAGAAGGGTGTGATTTTCCACATGGTGCAAGGTGGGCCTCTATAGAAAGCACCCATATTGCATTGGCTTTGGAAAAGGCATTTTTCAGAAGAGACAAGTGAAGCAAAGTGTAATGGGATAGAAAGCAGGCCCAAGGCCTCTGGCACCAGCAGGGTGGGATGTGGGGAGGAAGATAGGCAGGTTGGGGTAGTTGCTGTGTCCTTGTGGTTGGTTGTAAGGCCAGATGGACTGCCAGGCACCCAAATTTTTATCACATGAACATAAGGGCCTTGCAAAGCCCATAACTGAATACAGGTAGTATTTTGTTCACGCCATTATTCAGAACCATCCTAATTTCAGTGACTGAATGAATGATTGTAAGTTGAGGACTATTTATAGGCTCCAGAATGGGATCCTGAGTATGTGCTGTTTTAGAGAGGCGTTTGAAGCAGCCCTTAAAAGATTTGCAAAATTTGTATAATTTCTATTCTATTCTGATATAATATAAGAAGAGTGATACTCAAATGTTCCATAATTTAAGAAAAAACCCTTGTGCTGCTTTATCCATTTGCCCAAAGCAATGATTTAATGACCAAGGAGAACCATACAGAATTCATGTAGTGTATTCAATTTGGAAAAATTATAGACAAGTTAAAAAAAAAAAAAAAACCTTTGCCCCAGCTTTGTAATCCTGACTTAATCCGTTCTATGGTTGTTTTTAGCATTTTGAAAATGGCAAGAGACTCAAAATGTTCATGACTCCAAATATTACAATTTAATTGTCCCTCAGGTAAAAATAGATTCCAGCATTTCTAAAGATATGGCAATTTTGTCTATGGGGCTTGGATTTATTTACTTATTCAAAAACAACTCTGAGTGGCTCCCAATCAAAAGTTCAGACAACACATAAAACCGTATTAAAAGTTTCAAACTAAACACCCTAGAACATTAAAAAAAAGAAAACCTGGTGCCAAATCAAAGTTCCAATGTGCAGTCATCCAATTTTATCCCAGCACTTGTGGGTCTTCCGTGCTTTTCGGAAGGCTTGGAAAGTTGAGGCCTGCCGAACTACAACGGACAGAGTGCTCCACAGGGCAGGGGCTGCCATAGAAAAGATATGGTTCTTAGTCCACCAGATGGCAATATTTAGGGGAAGGGACTGGGAGCATGCTCAGTCTATCTGATCTGGTAGGATGGGTCGATTTCTCTAGGGAAAGGGGGTCCTGCGGCAAGTAGAAGCATACAACAGTTTGTACAAAGTATCTGTAAGAATTAGACTGTCAGCTGGTGCTCCGTTCAAAATCCAAGAAAGAAATACTTAGACTCTTGTCATTAGAGAAAAGATATCTTTTACTGGAAGTCAAGTGGTAGCAACAAGAGAATTCTGAATCTGAGGAAATAGGCATGTACATCACATATATCAAGGGATGGAAATGTTCCCACCCCCAATAGTTCAAATGGTTCTTCCAGTTAAAAGTTGTGGACCTCATCATGTGGACATCCTCAGGTGGTGATGATTAGTTGACCTTGGCCTACTCTGATAAAGGTTTGCAGCTGCGCAGAGAAGAGAAAGCTAAGCAAGAAATAGAAACCCTCCTCAGTTTATACAATATTAGTTAGTAAAACCTCCAGCTCGTTTCCCATACTTTTCCCCCTTCCTCCCCCCGTTACTCATGACAGCCAGAAAGAAGATCTTGAAGGCTGACATAGATTTGGGATTCCCAAACGTTGATACTAGCTGCTGTATACTGCCTTTGGAGGCCATGTTCCATCTGTGAAGGATCATGGTGGTATCCTTATAGTTTCCAGGATCCATTGAGAATGAACATTGTATAAATTGCAATAGATTATCACCAATGCTTCTGCAGTTTTGCAATGCATAGTTGCTTCATTACATCCATTATTACCAGTGAAACTAACCACATTCCTTTCTCCATTCTAGACCGGCCCCAAATGGATGATTCCAGCTGCCCCCAGACATGGACTTGGAAGGAGGGAAGTACGGCAACACTTACCTGCTCAGCCTTGGGAAACCCCACACCGACTGTTCAGTGCTGGAAAGATGGGAGACTTTATAACATCGGGGAACCACAGCTGATCCAGATAGAGCATGGTGGCATATATCAGTGCAATGCTACTAACCAGTATGGATGGGATGTTAGAGATGTGACCGTACACGTTGAGTGTAAGTTCACTCCTTGACCTAAAGAACGAGAATGACCACAGTCTTAGGTCCTGTAACTACCGGCCAAATCTGCATTTGAACGGTAGACTTAAGCTAGTGAAACAAACTGATAAAAATTCTGGCCATCACAGCCCTTCCATCTATAGCCCAGTCAAGAAAAATTTGGAATAGTTCTGGAGCTTAGCAAAGATTCATTGTGACAAGACTATTTAAGAAGGGTTTAGAACAGGGGTGTCAAACTGAAGGCCCACGGGGTGCTTACATCTGGCCTGCAGGGCTGCCCTGAAAACAGCAACGGACTGATCCTCCCGAGGTCTGTTTTCGCTGGCAGAGGGTTGCAGGAGGCCGGAGCAACCAAAAACTGAGCTTGGGAGCCTGTTTTGACTGGCAGAGCACTTTGACCACCCAAGGCGCCCCCGACATGAGTGATGTCAAGCTGTCCACTAGTCTCCTATGCCAGCATCCTGCTCATTCAATTGCCTTCCAATAATTTGCCATTATCCTTATATCTACTTCTTCACATATTGTTGAATTTCATCTTTAGTCATCTTTAACTAAGATGATCGGGTTTTGGAATTAAGCTTTTATATATATACATTTCCATTTGAATACACCTGCTTCTACATCTTAATATAGCAAAGGAACATTTCCTAGAAGGGCATGTTGGCAAGATATTTGGCATTAATAGCATTAAACAGTATCAAAGTTAGAAGGCTGAGTAGAAGTTTGGAAGGCAGAGACAGGAATAGGAGAGCTATGAATTACTCTTGCTGTATAATTCTTGAAAGAAATGTCTTCACATATATCATTTGGCAAAGTGAAAGTCTTCCCTTTCAGTCATCACATATACATCAGTTATTCCATTCATTTCTCGCTTCCCTGTATTTATCCCTACTTTCTTTTTCTTCCTTTTCTCATCTGCTAGCAGGTACTGTAGTTCTCTGCCCATTTATTAGACACCCTGAAACATGGCTGTCTGCATCCTCTATTGGAAAAAACAAACAAACCCCTATCTGTTAGTCCTTTCATACATTCCCACTTTTGCCCATTGTGTTTTCTTCCATCCCTATCAAAACTCCTTGGAGAATATACCTTTCTCTCAATTTCCTCCTCAATTTCACATGCTTGTTTTAATGGCGTTTTCATGTAAGGAGTTTTCATTCTATCAAGCTGACTTGGACACATTATAGTCAATCTCCTGGTGCCAACACAAATCACCTATGTTCAGTGCTATTATTACCCAATTTATCTGCTGCATTTGTTTCCTCAAATCGATATTATTTTCCTATGTGAGTTCCCTTAGTAATATCATAACCACACTGA